AAATCACACACACTCTTTCTCTCTTTGTCTCTATCTTTTTTACTTTTTCTCTCTCTCTCTCTATCTCACACACACCACACACCACACACGCACGCACACATTTACACATACAAATCACACACACTCTTTCTATCTCTCTCTGTCTCTCTGTCTCGTTCTTTCTCTCTCTCTCTCTCTCTCTCTCTTTCTCACGCACTCACACACACGCACACATACACACATACAAATCACACACACTCTTTCTTTCTTTCTTTCTGTCTTTCTCTCTCTCTCTCTCTCTCTCACACGCACACGCACACACGTACTTAGGTTCTATGCAAGACTACAACTACATATACGCTGGCTGCATGGAGCTGACCCTGGAGATCTCCTGCTGCAAATTCCCCGACCAATCATATCTGAAACACGAGTGGACCAAAAACAAAAATGCCCTTATCGAACTTTACAAAAAAGTTCACATCGGTCGGTTTTAAATTTTTCCAAACTTGTTCTTAATTATTGAAATTTGAATAAAAATTAAAAATAAAAATTTTATTTAAATGGCGCACGGTGCATAGCGCTTTGGTATTAATCCTTCACTGGCATCCAACACAACTGGAAAGAGTTTGCATTCAAACCTTGTTTCCAGAACTCAAGAAACAAACACTTCGACTTTTCATTCTCATTTCACCTATATAAAAAAATTTGTTTTTTTTTTACATTGTTTTTAGGTGTAAAGGGTGTAGTTTTGGGTGCCAAAAAGACCCCCATAAAAGATGCCCAGGTGAGTTTCATCGGGAGAGATCACCCATCGAAAACAACCAAACTTGGTGAATTTTGGAGGTTGCTTCTGCCTGGTACATATACCATAAAAATTGAGGTTGGTTGGATGGCTGTAACAATTGAAAAATCAATTTTTTGACGTATTTTTATATTAATAGTTCATTATTATTATTATTATTACGATTCAGTCATTTTCATTCTAATTTATATTTGCGCTAACCAATAAATTATACAATCATCCAACCAATCAACCAATCAATCAACCAACCAATTAACCAACCAACCAATCAATCAACCAGCCAATTAACCAACCAATCAACCAATCAATC